TTTGTTTTGTGACCTTAAGATTTCTAGAAAACCTGTTTTACGATTTTTTTGTTTGTTTTTTTAAATGAAAAATTATTGAAACCTAAAACACTTTTTTAACTAAACAAGGTCTTAAGTTGAATGAAATCAGGCATTTTTCGAAGAAGTGAAAATATGAGACTTCAGCAAATTTGAATCTAGTGTGTTTGCTTCGGAAGACACTTAACAATTAAGCTATCAAGCGCAACATATCACAAGTTTCATTCTCCACTTCATTGGTTTACTAGGTCTGAAACTTGCAAGATTCTCTAGCTATGTCAGTTCGTCTTTAAAATGTTTAAAGTTCAGACTGTGTGTTACTCTTGTTTGTAGGTTATTGCCTAGTTTTTAAAAGAGTGTGAAATCATATTTGTTTACGATTTCAGAATTCTTTATAGAGCATTAACAAACTTTGTTTTATCATGAAATTAATTACTTCAGCGTAAAGAAATAAAAAAGGGCTTAAACAATAGTGGTTACTTTTTATTTTAATTTACTAAAATACATGTAGCAACAGAAAAGCTAGTCAAATAAGTTCTGTATTTTAGTAATACACTTTTTTTTTGCAAATAAGGTGAGGGGGGATTAGAGGTAATGGGCTTACATCCTGATCTTGGCAGACACACTAATTTTTTTCTTTCAATATTTTTATTTATAAAACCAGTTCAAGATTTTTTATTTTAAGATACCTATAGCACTTCTTTTCCACTAATCTATGTTTCGTTATTAAATATTAAAGAAATTATGGGATATCAATAATTTTCTCTTTGACTATAATATGACTGGGCTTTCTATGAATATTCTGCTATTGAGAACTGACACTCAAGTTATACATGAATATTAAATGTTGGTTTTATTTGCTGCAACAAAAAATTTACATATATTCAGATATAAGAAATAATTTTTACCAAGAAATTCCAGCTGGCTTAATTATTTGTGTTGTGGTTAAAATTATTATAATTTTTTTTTTCCAATATTTCAAGATTCTTAGTATTTCATGACTAGCAATGTTTTACATTCTGCCCTTACAATTTTCTTTACTCCCCCTCTGGCCCAACCTCTACTCATGATTATATACATAACCTAATTAAGTTCAGAAAATTTTATCTTTACTGTGTATAATTTTCCAACTCATAATTCTATTTAATATAAAGATTGCTCTAAATAGCAAAAAAAAAAATTTACAAGAAATGTTTTCTTGTTAATTTCTTATTCTAGCTTAGAGCAAGCAAGGTTATTTCCCACTACTTCAACACAGATAACTGGAAAACATTTGCTTGTTACCATATTAGATAAGCATCAAATGCTTCCTGTGTAGAAATGTGCTAGTATTATCATTGATGAGTTTCTCTTGTGTACTTTGTATGAAATGTCTGACAGATTATTAGTTGTTTGGCTTTGTATTAAATAATGAACAAAGCAATGTTCCTTCTTTAGGTGATCCTCAAAAGCTTTAGCTAATCTTTTCACACAAGATTTAGTCATATCTTCCTCATGATCCAAGAGTTAACTTGTTTTAGAGCATGGGATGTCACAATTAACTTGGCTTACTCTCTTTTAGCCAGTTCTTCCAGATCACCGTATCTGTAAAAAAGCCAGTGATCTCATAATCATTATGTCAGCTTGTTTTGCAGTTCAATGTCATAAATATAGTTTGTTTACAGCTTGATATACTGTAATCAACAAAGGATAGCCTTTCTATGCAATTATTCTCTTAACTTTTCTTTAAAAGCTTTAATCCTTTTTTTCATCATTACTCAAAAAAAGAGTTGGCTGCATTCACACATAAGATATGACAGTTAATCAGGGAGTTTTTCTAGAAGTTTAGTCCTCAGGAACTAGTAATGATTTTTCATCTTTATGGAAACTTTGTGTCAGTAAGTCTAATAAAATATTCTCTGTTCATCATGTTGGTTAGTGGCATATACAATCACAGCTTAATGATAACTTTAAAGCAGGTCCTGGCTCTAATAATTACATTTTTGAAAATCAGTATAGCTAGATAGAAAAAATGTTTTAATAAGATAAAATGTTCTACCAAAAGCCAATTTAGGAAATATGGATATTTTTGGTTTTGTTAATTTGATTTACAGTAACATCTGGCTCGAGTAATGTTAAATACATTGGATTTCTCCTTGCAATGAATGAATGAAACCATCAAAATTATCATAATGTCTGCAGCTATTTTTGCTGTAAAGGTACTTCAACATGCATTGATAAAATCTGTCACTGTGTGGCTGTTGCATTTACTATCCATTTCACTTTCTCCTTTTCTACTTGGTCCGGTAGACTTAACTACTTGAGCATGTGATCACTTTTTAAAGAACTGTAGTAATAAATTTGTCCAGGAAACCAATAACAAAATTTTAACACTGATATTTCTCTGCACTTAGAATTCATTGTGATTTTCCTTTTTTTTAACTGGGTATAAAAGCATTTAACTTTTAAGACACAAACTTTATTTAGTATTTATAAACTTCACGTAATTAATACAAAAATGGCTGTTCTAATAATATCCTCACCATAAAATTGTGTTATTTGCTGATGATACAACAACTATTTAGACTCCAAAGCCATTTACAAAATTGAGAGACTAACTCTTTCAGTCTGATGCTTGTGTCATTATCTTGCAGTATTCATATCACCAGAAATTTTAGATAAAATAATTCATTTATGCTAAATATTAAACATCTTCAGAAATGATGGCTTTAGCTCAATTTTTCAATTGGCTCTCAAACTTTAATTATCAAATCTATTCATAGTGCCAGTATTGTTTGAATGCTTCAAAAAATGAAAAGATTGGGTCAAGAATGTTTATGCAATGGGTTCAGAATAAAGAATAATACATATGACTTTGTTATTTACTGTGCAAATAATTCATTTGGTACTTCACAGCATCTTCTGTACTTACAATCAACATTCTGACTACTTCAACAATACTTCATAAACATCTTTAACCTACAGTGTATAAAATTGTTTAACACATTATTGTGCTTGCTGGGCAAGGCTGATTCTATGAAAAATCCTTCCTTAACACAGAAGAACTTGTATAATCTTACTCAGTGGACTAACCTGTGGAAAATTAGTTTTAACATTGATAATCACAAAGTGATTCATTTAGGTTATGCAGTTTGGGAAAACCTTCCTTTGTGTGAGGGAGAAAAATCTGTGATATCAAGAGTAGGAAGGATCTGGGTGTGGTTATTCATAAGCATCAAGCCTTCAGTGAATATTGAGAAATAATGAAAAGAGTAAATAGAATTCTTGAATATGTTTACAACAATTTTGAGTTCAGGGGTATGGTGGTTATCATCATATTGTACAGAATTATTTCAAGGCTTCATTTAGAGTATTTTGTTGTGTTTTTATCCCTTCATTATATATAAAAAAAAATTGATTTGCTTTAGAAGTTCACAGATGTAGTATCAAAGTGATTCTTGGTTTCAAACATTTAAAATATTTTGAAAGACTCAGGCAATTGAACTTGTTTTCCATGGGGTGACCTAATTCAGGTATTAGTCATTAAGGGTTGGATAAACTGCCCATGAGAATATTAGAATGGTGGAAAGATAATTTGGTTAGAGATGACAATCCGAATAATAGAGGAAGAAAGTTTTAACTAAGGAAGACCAGGTCCAGGTTGATTAATAGTAAAAACTCCATAAAACACTCCATAAAAACAAACAGTTTTCCATTATAAGTTATATGCATAAATACAGAAGAAAATTGTTTTATATTAAACACGATTAGAATAAGCCTTCTTTACAAGTAAGCCCATGATGTTCATTAAATGTTAATGCAGATGGTTTTACCTTGAAATGTATATATTATACGAGCTTAAATCCCACATGTCCAGCTCCAGTAATTACTTTTTATTTCTTCACTGATAGAAAACATTCGTATATTTTGATCTGGCTCCAGTAACTTTCAACACTTTCACACAGTGATTTTATTTACTAAATAACATTAACACTAAATAATTTACTGTTAACACGTTTAACAAGTGTGAGTTATGAAACTTGTATAACTTCACAAGAAACATTATTTACTTCTTGTCTACATAAATTTGGACTAGATCAACAGATGTAATTATACTTACTCATGTTACTGGTATACATCATGGGCTAAGGCAAGCCTAGGTACGCCGAATTACTTAAATTGGGCAATTAGACTTATTCAAGTTACTAACTGTATTAACATAAATTAAAAATACCTCGAGAACCTCGTCTATATTCTTGTGGGTTAAAACATACGTATCAGAAAACCATAGAATTTTTCATTAGAGCCCTTTATTTTAGGAAATGTAACTTTTCTTATTAAGTGTAAAATTCTGAGACCTATTTTATAAAAGTTTTGTCACGTATTTTCGCTCCTTAGCCAGAAATAATAGTTGTCTACGTCGTTGTTTGTGATAACGTTTGATTAGAAGTTAGATTGGTTAAAATTCCAAATTCGTGACGCTCATGGAATCAGTACCCAGTCATGTGGCTGCTGTGTTTCCTCGGAAGCTTGCCCGAGGCCTAGATTAGTTAAATAGGACTGTTGACCGACAAATCATACATTCTCTCCTTCTCCGACGTGTAGTAAACTATAAAGTGTTATACTTATTTATAGTGAAGAAAGTAATCAAGCGCCATGTGTGGTAAGTGATTTTGCATAATTTATAACATTCGTGTAAGCTGTATACATGAATATTTGTAAACTGTATGCTTATTATTGGGCATTGGCTAGCGCTTAACGCGCTCGGACTGTAAATATGAGGGTTTGCGGTTCGCGGCCCGTTGCCGAAAAACCTCGCTTCTCATATGGGGCTGTGTAAGAGTAATGGTCAAATCTCTCTATTCGATTAAAGTAGCCCCATGGACGCTGTTAGATAGTTGCCTTCCCTCTAATCTATCGATTCAAAGTTAGAGACTGTTAACGCAGACAGCCATTGTGTAGACTTTCGCGGATATCCGAAACAGATAAACTATAATGTTTGATAAACTAACTTGTATGTGACGCATGACCTAAATCGAAATCCAGTAATGTTCTCAGTATCATGTTCTGCTTATTTGTACGGTTAGTTTTGCAGTTAACTACAGGAGCCTTTTTTTTTCTGTAAATTTTGGTTCTGTTAGATTTCTTATATGTTTTAATTTTTAGTGATAATGCAGAATTAAAATTTGTTGACGATAGTTTATTTTTACTTACGACCTTTAAAAAAAGCACTTAAATGTATTAATGTTGAAGTTTATTCCTTATTCACGTTTTATTCCTTGTTCTGGTTGAGGTTTTCCAGTAATCATTTCAAAGTAGAACCGGGAGGCAGTCTCGAAAAACTGGTATATCTTTCACACTCCTGGAAATACTGCACTTGGTCAGACCCGTACGCAGAATGTTGAAAGGGGAGTTCTAATTTGTGAGATCAGAGCCAACAGATATTGTGCGAAGCACAATCAGCATGCTAATACTAGAGGTGTCTGGGGGCATATGAACTATTTCAAGCCAAAAAATGCTAATCCTTCAGAATAATGTAAACTATGTAGAAAACGTTAAGCAACATAAACAGTTGCGTTATAAGTAAATCACCATAATTATTTTTTACATCACAAAAACAAGGGGTTCGGCAGACCCCCC